TTCCATGTACCTTAATGGTACATGGTATTTTTCAGGGGTTTAGAGTTAATCTATAATGTCTGTCAAAGCTGACCCTTCGCCCTCAGTGTTTTATTTTGTTCATTATGTGAATACTCTCCTTCAGGAGAAGGACGATATATTAATTCACAGTCTGCTTAAATGCATTGTGTGGGAATAAGATGTAGGTTCATAGGAATTCATAGCATTTTAATCAATGAGGTCGTGTGTGTTTTGTACTTCTAGGTGAAAGCATTGTGAGTTTCCTTCATAAATTCCTTGACTTGTTTGAGTGGATTGGTGATGCCTTTGTGTTTTGCTGTTTGTAGTGTTCTTAGCGCTTGCTGACAAGATACAGAATAATAGGATATAGTATGCAAGACAGTATATTCTGATACTTCCGGTGACACCTTGGTGTATTGACAGAGCTGGTTGGTTTGTCTTTGGTATCATCAAAGGGCAAGCTCACAATAACACTGCTGTGCTAAGAATTTAATGCTTTATTCTACCTAAAATGCCTGTACATGTGTCACTTCCTTTCCTCTTCTCAGACAAAAGACAATTCAAGCATCTTTAGACACTTGATACAAACTCCACTGTTTAATTTTGGTGTGCCAGCTTTCTAAAATACCTACTTTTTAATACAAAGTATTTATTGAATAAAGGTAAATTCTTTAAGTATTACATATAAATCATTACCTTTTATGCCGTTTTAATTTAGAGATTTTGGGGTGTGTTTTGTAAGTTGCATAGTCTATACAAGAAGATTGCTAGGCACTTATGTTATTTGGAAAGTGGGGCTTATAGTTGGAATGTATTTTACAAACACAACGTATAGCTTCTCAACAGTATATAAATTCTGATTCGCAAGTTTGTAAAAATATCCAAATAAGGCAGGAGGCATGGGGTCAGAGTAATCACTATAAACGTTGGTTTCCTTTGGTGTGTTCTCTGAGTTAAAAGCCATCCTTGTGATACATATGTGTAGGTGAAAATTCTGGTGAATAACAACAATATCCCTATCTTGCTGGACTGCCCTTGGCTTTCTCAAATAAACATTTTCTCTGGCATCATTGTGAAGTGGAAGTCAGGCACATGCTGCAGTAATTCTCTCAACTGATAGAATTACTGTATTACAGCCAGCCATTAAATAGCCAAATATTTGAAACCATGTAAAAGAGAGTTACTATGACAAGGTTCTCATATTTAGGGAAAGTAAGGTTAAAAAAGGCAAACAAACTAACCTTCCTATTTTCTTCCAGTATAGGAGGAGGAAAATGAGGAAGTGATGGATCAAAATCCTACAGAGATTTTCTTTTGGATTGACCAACCTCAATAGAAGTGTAGGTGGTATTTAAAACAGTATGCATCTTCCTTACATCAGTTTCAAGAATTGATCTGGAAAGACCAAATCAACACCTGACCACTAAACAACTGCTGTTTGTATTGGTATTTTTCAAACATACCTTTTCATTGAAAGTCATCAGGAAAGTTCTCTTCTACCAGTTTGCTGTGTAAATTTTGAAGTGATACTTCTGTGAATTAAATTGATTAGAGTGGCGGGTACCTGACCGAATGCTAACACAGCTGTAGGAGGGAGTGATTGATGGTAGTCTTGATGTCGTCTTTCACTGTGGCACTTTTCTTTTGTCCTGCAGTAGCAGCTCATGGTTTGAAAATGGCATTTCACAAGCTTTAAAATGTGGTTCATAAAATGCTGGGAGCAGTGAGGTGAGAACTGGGGAGCATAACTCCTAAAATCACAGATTCTGTTACTGTTCTGAGTGGATTAAAATCAATTAGTGGGACAAAGCATCAAGATTAAGGAAGCTTAATATGGAGAAAACAATGATTCATGCTCCAGTACAAACTGGATGTGGGGACATAATTACAGTGTACCACCAAAACTGCAACAGTTCATATGCCTCTGCTCCCTAGTAGCTTGGGTTTGCCCTTTTCCTCTGGGGTAGGAGGTCTTAGAGGGTTCTGTGTTCAGTGTGGCGGGAAGGAATGGACCCACAGTAGAGTCACTGGAGTCTGTTGGGAGTGGATGTGGGAGAGCAGATAGGTGAAACTGTCCACAGATTTCAGCTGTGGCCCATAGAAAAATCGCAGTTTTGTTGTGTTAGACTTTTTGTGGTTTGAAAACCTTAGCTACTTTTTTGCTTTCAGCAGTTAAGCAAAGACTATTTTCAGCTACTTTGAAGTAGAAAACCTGGGGTGAGAGGGGTGGTCTTTGGTTTTAGTAGCTGAGAGAGCCGAATTCTCTGGTTCAACTTGCATTCTCTTTCATGGCTAGTTTCAGAAACAAAACCTTTTCTACTTCTGACTTAAGAATAGATTTTGAAGAAATATGTGAACAGTTCTTTGCTATGTGGGTCAGAATTCATCAATAGTTCTTTGAGCAGTCAAATCTTAAAACAGGAACAAAAGTGTTAAGTTCATGGCATTCCATCTCCTGTGACCTAGAGGATGCCAAGGCATATGTTCTTTTGGAGTGCAGTGAATGGCTTCTGACTAAACTTCTTCCCTCTAAAAAAGCTTCAGTTACTATTACTATTCTTTGGATAGCTAAAATAGAAAAAGGGCTACCAAAAGGACTCTTTGCATTTCCTTGACATTCGTGAGGGAGAAACACATAAAAAAAGGAAATGTTAGTTTACAAAAGTTGGTTAAGGCACTAAGATCAGCTATGTACTTGAAATTTCTTTACAGTAGACTATATTGTTAATTTTAAATTAGCAGCTATATTTTAATCTATGTCTAAACAAGGCTTTTGTTACATATTTAATCCATTTATGTAAATGTCTTCAAGGAAATGTGTATTCTAAGTGATGGAAGAAGTCTACAGTGTATTTTTTGTTTTAGAAGAGTTGGTTTCTTTTGGTTGAGTCCATTTTTCTATGCATGTATTCTAGTCTGAATAAATCAAACTCTAAAAATGGCTTTAATCTTATATTGACAGAAGATTTTCTTTGCAGTAATGCTAGATATTTTCTTTAAAATGTTTTTCAAGGGAATGCCCAGTGAGCAGGATTTCAGTGTGTAGAAGTTTTGAGTCAGATTGTACAGCCAAAGAGGTTTTTGTACATAAAGCATACAGTTTCTTACATAGGCAGTGATTTGAATGGAGTTGAAGAAGCTAGATTCAGACTTTAACTGATATAAGTAAATGATACTTTTTCATTCTCATCCTTGCTGATGTAACTTCTAAAGCAATTTACCATTTAGCTTCTTAAACATGACATTTCAAAAGCTCCTTTTAGCTCCAGAACTCTATATGTAAATGGATTTGTGAAAGTTGCTTGCAGTTTTATTTGATTTGGAGTTCTATCCAGATTTATGGGTGCAAATTTTGTTTGCTTTTTGGGTTCCTGGCAAGATTTCTTTATGCATTGATTGTGAATTACTAAGGAAACAGTTGCAATTTTTCTGCAGTGCAGGCTTGACTGTAATAATTCCTGTTTTGTACTGTCTGGGCAACTGGCCTGTCCTACTGTCTCAGTTGGGGCACATTCTAGAAGGTTGTTTGGAAGTTTTTGGCAAAGGGCCTGGTGGTGTAAATTAGGCTTAACATTACTTAGCAAGAAATATGCAAATGCAGCCAGGACTGATGCTTCATTGCTTTTATATTGGCGTATATAGAAGGAGAACAGAAGTCACAGTTAAATGATGAGGTTTGCTATGACAGAAGAAGAAGGAAAGATGTAGAGCTGCATTATTAGACATAGTACTTTAAAGCAACAGCTGGATTGTCCACCAGAAAACGTCAGATTGAGATACTGATTTTCACAGAGCTAGCCTAGAGTTGTTTAGCATTACAACTAATGCTGTCAACAAAAGTATGTCTAAAACTATGTTTGATGAAGTGGGTCAGGATGGCCTCTCTTGAGTTAAGTCCAGAAAGTTAGAAGGTGAAATGAAACCTATGACTGCATAATTTAAAATTCTGAGCTACAGTCTTCACTTAATCTGGCTTCAGTGCATCTTCCTGAATGGATAGCATTCTCAGGGTAGACCTTTTTTTTTTTTTCATTTTTCTTTTATTGTCTTTTTTAGCCTTTTCAGGCATGCAAAGAGACTAGATCAATAGGTTAATTTTTACCAAATGGAACAAATGCACATCAAGTTGCCTTGTGACTGTTTCATTTCTTTAGAGAATAAATGTATCCATGCAGGTTTTGCCTTTTTAATGTATTGTCCATCTACAAGAAAGATAAACTTCTATATTTAGCTATTATTATTATTATTATTACTGTTACTGTTAGTTTTCTTTTTTTTACACACTCATGAGAGAAAATGTCAGCTTTTCCTATAACTCAGATTTTAAAAACACATTTTTGTCCATATCTATGTTTATTAAACAGACTTAATTTTTATAAACTCATGAAGAAATAGATAAAATTTTTCAAGACATGGCTTTTTTTTTTTGACAAACAAAAAGTTATGGTATGTTACCTATTCCAAAATAAATATAAATAAATGAGTGGAAAGTAAACTGAAAAATTGGTCCACCATAGCATTTTTATTTAGATATAGAGTCTGTTAGTGTAAAATCATGCAATTTATGTACTGTATCATGTACCAATAAGAGAATAACAAGAGTACAATGTGAAAAACATGTATTTATCAGACTTTGTGACACAGTTGGGAAAATAAAATAGTATGACAGATGAACTATAAGCATAAATGCTACTCTTCATAAACTATTTTAATAAGAGAAAAAGAAATGTCACTGGGAAGAATATACTTACTGAAAATATTTTTATGGATAATTTCATTTTTGTTTGTTTGTTTTGGACTTTTTGGTTTTGTTTTTGTCTTTCCTTGATATATAGTTCATATTTTCCTTGAAATCTGTGGAAAATTTATACAACCAATTTAAACTCCTTGTTTAGAAGTACACTTAAAATTTTTATAAATGAAGAAATATTTTACTTTTTAAAATGTGTCTACAATACTGTTTACAGTTTGCTAACATATGTATGAAATGTCACTTACAGGTGCTGACCTTAAGGAAAGGGCAAAAATGCACTCAAGTGAAGTTAGTTCTTTTGTCTCCAGAGCAAGAGCAACTATTAATGAATTGGGTAAGTAATCTCTCCTTTGAAAAATGTTATTGTAACTTTAACCTGAGAATGTTAGATCAAAGGAATGACATAAACATGCGTAGTTAATTCTTGACAGGTAGTAGAGTATCCCTAACTGTGTAGTATCACGTCACAGATATTGAATTGGAAAGAACCCATAAGGATTATGGAGTATATTGATACATATGAATCATGGTACATTTATTCCTTTAAAATGTTCCAAGTTGAGTTAGACTTTTTGAAAGAAAGCTAGAGAAGCTAAATCTCAACTGAAATAGAGATGATTTGTCCTGCTATTTTCATAAAGGATGGATTGTTCAGTGGCGTCAATGTGCTTTAGAATTCAGGTTTTACAATTGCATTCTTGGGGTTTCTATAATTAGTACAGTCTAATATATTTTCGAAGCATGCTAAACATCAGCTGCTAATATAAATTTAGCTACTAAGGTCTTTTAAAATTTTATGTAATATGTTTTGGTGTAGTAAAACCTGTTAATAGTTTTGGATTTTAATCAACTTGTACCAGTTCTTAGGGATAGTAATTTCTCTGCACGTTTTAGTTTAGGAATTCACCAACAAGTAATTATATTTCTACATCTCTGCTGATCAGTTTAAATATAATTACTTTTCAACAGGTTATTGTCAATATGATCTGTTGAAAAGAGAAGTGTAGTGTTCCATGTTTTAAGGAATTAATTTTCTACATTTAGCTTCTGAAATTTATTTCAATGCATTTCTTTAAGAATGCTGTGTAACATTTTGATTTGGCAGAATGTTATGAATGGATAATGGAGTTTTTTTTAGGTAAATGACAACCTGCTTAAGAATGAAACTTTGATTAGGTAATTCATGAAGATACTTATGTCCTGAAATGACTGTCATGTCTTTGAAGTGAAGTAGACACTCAAGGCTGTTTAAATAAACGAAATCTGTAAAATACCTAGATGATGTAAATAGATCATTAATTTCCTGCAGCTGATACTATACGTCATGCTAGTACTTGTCCTTTTATTGGATTGCCAAGCAAGTGGCAACAAGTTGTTACAATCATTTTCTTCATAAGAATTTTGGGAGGCTTTCTTATCATTAAGTAATAATTTTTCAGCCTTCCATGGCTTGAAGTTACTGGAAATACTTTAAGCTGCTGTTAGTGTTCAAATATGAGCAACTGGTTTCAAGATTTTCTTATGATTAATAAATAGGTTTTTAAAAATGAATTATTTTCAGATTTTTAAGTGAGAATATTTCTACAGTCTGAAGAAATATTTGGACTTGGCATTCTTCACTGAGTGACTGGAAAATGTTCAGTTATTTGATGCTTTGTTTTGCCTCAGGGTTGAAAAACCCTGAGAAAAATGTTTGATTTTTTTTTCATCTTCATTAAAGTTCCTGTGAGAATATTTAACTACTGAATATATAAGCAAATTTTCAGTGTCATGTTAAAGGCTTGCAGTGAATTACTTACCTCAGTCAGTTTCACTAGACCATTCTCAGAGTCCCATCCAGCCTGGCATTGAATGCTTTCAGGGATTGGGTCATCCACAGCTTCTCTGGGCAACCTTTTCCAGTAGCTTACCACCCTCACAGTGAAGAATTTCTTCCTAAAAACTACTCTCTTCCAGTTTGAATCCATTTGTCTCGTCCTGTTGCTACAAACTCTTGTAAAAAGTCCCTCTCCATCTTTTTTCTAGACTCCCTTCAGGTACTGGAAGGCTGCATTTGTGTCACTCCAAAGCCTTCTCTTTTCCAGATTGAACAATCCCAATTCTCTCAGCCTTCATAGGAGAGGTTCTCCATCCCTCTGATTAACTTGGTGTCCCTCCTCTCTGGCTCACTCCAGAGTGCACTCACACCAGCAGGTCAATGTCTGTCCTGTGATGAGGACCCCAGAGTAGAATGCATTACCCCAGGTGGGGTCTCATTATGCCATTCTCTACATCAGGAAATGGTAGACAGTATCAGAAAAATATATACAGGAGGTTAGATTGGTTGGGTGCATATGATGTCCCATTGTGTCATGCCTGATGAATAGAAGTGAATATTAATTTTACAGCAGGTCATTACATAATATAGGGACATTGTATTTGTGTTTGGTCACAACAATTAATCTGTAAATTGAAAATAATAATGGTATTTTTCTTGCCCAGCAACAACTAGGATGCTGTGAGATACTTAAAGAGGGGAAACAATTTTCAAATTAATATTTACCACTGCAGAATTTTATGTAGCTAGGGAACAATATTTCCAGTCTCCTATTTTGTTCTTTTTTTCTATCCGAGTTTAATACTATAATCTCATTTAAAATGTATTCTACTTATTGCTTTTCAGAACTAGGTCATGTTTTGATAATTGCATTTGTATTCAGATGTGTGACCTAGTAAGGAGTTATGTCTTTTTAGCTATATTTTCAGAAAGAAGACCATTAAGTTACCTTTATAGACAAATTACAGTAAAGGCTAATTATGTCTTGAACAACTAGATAAACTTAACTTTTTTAGAATTGACATCCTTTGGCTTTCTTTAGTTTCTGTTGATGTCATTACATATAAAATCCTTACACTGGTTCTTCTGTAAAAAGCTAGAGTATCATTTTGGAATATGGCTGCAGAACGGAATTTTCTGGAAATAAAAAGCATACTGCACTTATTTATATGGGAATAATTTATAACTTCTTACTAAATTTGGGTGAAGAAGTAAGACTGCAGTAAATGTGATTTTGTTTATAAATAAATGCTTAAAAAATAGCTGAAAAAATTGAACAGAGCCCCATTAATTGCGGCACTTGGAAGTTTAAGTTGGGGAGGGGGAAATGAAAACAGCCTCTATTTTTAGCAGTGGTTGCTTTTGCTAAAATGACACCAGAATTGTGGAGTTGTTTGGGGGTTGGGTTTGTGTGTGTGTGTGTCTGGGATTTTTTCTACTTTTTTCTTTGTTATTGTTTCTTTTAATAGTAAGAATTATAAGATTACTTGTCCATTACTATATTCTGCCTTGAAGCACTTCGTTACTGATGTAAGGCTGTCTTTACCCTAAAGAAACTGGGAGAGAAAAGCCTTAATAGATCTCTTTTAACTAAGCAGGACAAGACAGGCCTGGCTAAATTAAGTCAAATGACAATGATTTCCAGAAGCCTTCGTTTTGAGGCTTTGGGAAGGAAAAAAACCCTATCATTGTGGGTCAGATCTTCAATATGTATTGAGGCATATTATGGTATGCCTCTTATTAAATCCATGTTGTTCTTTATACTGGCTATGGGGTCAGAGCTGTGATAGTGTGTATATGTTATCTTTCAGAATTTCAGTTGCAAAACAGACTGAGGCTATGTATGGAGCTGAATGCAATAACCACACTCCTCAATAAAAACACCATATTTCATAAAAATAAAAACTGAAGCTGTAGAAAGAATTTTAATTCAGCAAATACATGCAATTACTCAAATTGACATTTAGCTCCAAGCTCTATTAAGTGAGAAATGTCATTGATTTGCAAAGCTTTTCCAAAGAATGGAGATGTAAGTTCCCAAATCCATAAACATGGAATAAAAATTGGAAACTGACTTTCTTGGTTACTTCTTAAAATTAACATGTGGTCAGGCTTGTTTGGTTTTTTTTTCACATTTGGAGACAAAACACTATACTCATGGCCTGATGGAACCTAGATTCTGAAGTAAAAATGAATTTTTTGTTAAAATACTAAGGTTACTTGTTTTCTGTTAGTTTTGTTGTGTTATAACAAATTTTACAGGTCTTTGTTGAAAATATTTGATTAGTTTTCTGCATAAGCTGTGAAACAACTTTAATAAGTGGTAATATTTAGTAACTTTGTTTATACATAGTTCTGTCAGATATGGTTAGTTTTAACATACTCCACTTTGAATGAGATCATCTGGAATGAAAGCACCTTGTGGTCAGTTGCTTGCATTTGAGTTTTTTACTATGTTCTTTTTATTTTATTGAGACCAGATACAGTTGTATATTTATAGATTTTTTCCCCTTCTTTAACATTTCTTCTGTCCTTCTGCTTTTCAGTTATCCCCAGACTTTTAATTTACTTAAAGCATTTGTTCATCCTTCAGACAAATATCCTGTTTTCAGAAAGTTCCTAGTTTGACTATTGAAGATTGTGCATACGTGCATTTTTTTGATGTCACGTTATATGCTACAGTTTGGTTTTGGATGCAGGCTGTCAAAAATTTGTTTCAGAGGTCCCAAGAATGGTATCAAGATTATAAAATATTTCACTTGATTGCTGGTCTGCTAACAGTTGCCCCACCTTCCCATTGTGAAGGCTTAAAAATAATCAAGAATTATCATTGATGAGGTCAGCGCTGTGTCTTATTTTACTGTTTGAATCTGTGAGGCTTCTGTGGAGGTTTGATTAGCATTTTAAATCCTGGTTTAGGAATGAACAGTCAAAATTTACCAAATTCACCAAATCCATCTGTGTTTGCTGGAAGTAGATCTGGCCATTAAAAATGTAGTACTCTAGTTTGGAAATCCTGTGATAAAAACTGTGGATTTCTCTCTTAGGGAAGGGAGATACAGGCTATGAGTTGTGTTTATTGGGAAGCTGAATGAAATTTCAGATAGCTATCAAATTTGAAAAAGGTAAAATTACAGCTAGCAGAGCCATGCTTAACAGCTGGCCTCTGGCATCATGCTCTTTCTGTGCTGCTGACACTGAAATATAGATTTTAGCCTAGTATTTCTGTTGCTGGGCTATGATGTTGCCTGTTTGATTAAGTGTACAGCATAACTGATACAGTCCTTGAGTGCCAGAGTTCTGAGTGTGTCACTAGGCTCTTGATTGTTTTCCAATGGTAGATTTATTTCTTCTCTTGATATTGAATTAATTTAAGATAGCCTTTGAGTAAGTGTTGTCTGATCCTGTTGCTGCTATACAGCCGTGACAAAAATCAACATAATCTCAGCAGTAGTTAAGTTTTTCTTCTGGTAGTAATTCCTAATGTTGTTCTGGAGGACAAGAGACTGTACTCTGAA